TCCCTTCATGAAGGGTTTTTTTACACATCGTTTTTGTGGTTGCTTTATCGGCTGGTATTAGTCAATATTGATCATCACATTGTTTTAAAGCCAGCCCAACGTTGTTTATAAAGTCAAATGACGTGAAATAAAGTTTTAATGTAACGACTAAACGCCCTAAACACTTAAAAAAAAGGTGACACCGGAATCAAAAAAAGTGGTTCACATCGATTCTGAATAATTTTTTATGTTATGATACTTCAATAAACATACGCTTTCATTGATATTAAAGAATTTGAATTTTGATAGAAGAATGTTATATTCAAAACTTTATTTAATGATTACAAACAGACTAAATACATGAATATACAAAAATAAAATAAATCAATTCATTCAGAATGAAGAAAATCATTTCAGTGGTTCATTTGATGATGGTTAAGCATTCCCTCAATACATAACAGAACTGTCTCATCCGGATTCAAAACTAATAAAAATAAAAAAGAAAATTATTTAGTGAATGAAACGGTTAAAATATTTGTAAAAAGCTTTTGTTAATTACATACTAGTGACTTTCGTATACATCATATTTTTCATATTTTTCATATTTTCCATATTTTTTTGATGATGTTCATTTATAGGCAAAGTTGCAGTAAAGTCGAAATTTCCCTTTTCAACTGGGCACACGAATCCGCTTGGATCAACAAATAATTTACAAAAATCGGTTTCAATTACAGGTTTTCCATTAGGATCATGATAAACCCTCATTAATGCGCCTTCTTCAATAACTACGGCAGTTTGACCAACCGTATGAATCGTAATATTTTGACCTAAGATAATTGGATCTGGAGAAACGGTCAACGAAGTAAGGGTTATTGGGTAGTCGTAGTCTTTGCACGGTTTAAAACCAGAGAGTGAGTTATCCATTCGTATATATAATGGTGTTGATTTAACGAATGATGTGAGGACTAAGAAGATACAAAATAAAATTATAATGCGTTTCATTTTTTCTCAGATTTAAATTTTTTTTTATTTTAATTAGTTTTGAATCCGGATGAGACAGTTCTGTTATGTATTGA